TGTGCTCTTTTATATGGTAATGATATTAATTAGGGGGCGTTTATAAGGCGGACATCTGACACCAGTCAGCTGCGCACAATTTCAAGTTCATTTGCGATTTATAAATGTCACATCTGGAAGAGAGGCGTACGCACGTGTTTTTGTGCGCACGTTCGTTTTCTCTGAATCGCACTTACGCACTTTTGAGAAACGATCTTAGAACAAATTTAGGTCGGTTTATACACAACATTTTATAAATGAGGCCCCAGGACACTAGGTGTGTTTTTTTTAGCCATATTTGACTTCATGCTTCTGGTCATTGTCTTGCTGGAAAACAAATCTCCTCCTGCAGGTGTCTTGCAGACCCCATCAGGTTTTCCTCCAGGGCTTCTGTGTATTTTGCAGCATTCATTTTACCCTCACAAGCCTTCCAGGGCCTGCTGCAGAGAAGCATATATGCCCCTCAGCGTGATGTTGCCACCACCATGATTCACAGTGGGGATGATCTGTTTCTGCTGATGCTCAGTGTTTAGCTTATGCCAGATGTGGCGTTTATTTTAATGGCCAGAAAGCTCAATTTTAGTCACATCAGATCATAGAACCTTCTTCCAGCTGGCTTCAAAGTCTCCCACATGCCTTCTGTAGCCGAGATGTCATATGACAGTTTTTTAGCAGTTGCTTTCTCTTTTCCGCTCTGACTGGTGAAGGAAACGGGTAACAGATGTCGAATGTCTTTCCAATCTCATGTACTGATGCTTGTAACCTTTTTTGAGTTTCCTTCTTGCACAATGTCGCACTGTTTAAGGACATCCTCCTCTAGGTAGATTTACAGCTATGCCAGGCTCTTTCCGTTTCTTAATTATTGATTTTAACTGTACTCCAGGGGACATTCAATGACTTGAAAATCTTCGTGTAATCATCCCTGCCTTGTGCATTTCAATTATTTTCTGCTGTGAGTGTTTTTCTGGTGTAAGTTCTGCCACAATGACTCACCAGAAGTTGGACCTTCCAGATGGAAGCGTATTCAGACAACAATCAATTAAAAACCCTTGACAACACACACATGATTTTAATAGAACTATTTATGTAATATTGTAATGTATTATGTAATGTAATGTATTTATGTAATGTTGGGTTTTATATTTTATATTCGGAACTATTTTAGATAACTTTAATTATTTATTTAGGCATTTAAAAATGTATTAATTTATTTACTATTAATTCAAATGTGATTTTTCAAAACTGATTTTTCACTGTCACTCCAAACACCATTAGTTATGTCAGTCATTATTTGTGTCATTATTATTTAAGTATATCTGTAAATATATAATTTGACCCTCTAATACTTGCACTCTATTCTATTTCTATTCTCACTACTTCTTTTATTTTTATTTATTATAAAAAATTACCCTCTAACACTACCTTTCCCTATTTGTTAGGGTAACTGAGACTTGTCACAGCACTTGCATATTATTGCTCTTTTGTCGATTTTGATATTGCTTATATTATCCTCATTTGTAAGTCGCTTTGGATAAAAGCATCTGCTAAATGACTAAATGTTAATGATAAAACCTTATTGATTGTATGCTGTCAGATCATAATTTATGTAGTGATGGTTGTTGACCTAGGAAATCTTGCTGGTCTTGTTGCAAGACCTCTATTATTCAAAACTTTTTTTTTCAGCAGAATAGTGGTACCTTAGAGCTAGTAAGTGCAAATTTCAAGTGCATAATCAATTATGCGTTATGCATCGAATAGCCAGCTGTGACGAACACCTTCCTAGCCGAAGCAACTAGCAACTATCAATTATCCTTAACCGCATATTGCGTGTTGTGAATTTTGAAGTGGATCGTTTGAAAGAGCCTGCATGCTAATCACTCTGTTGATCCCCTGCCTTTTGTTTTCATGAAATAAGAAAAGGAAATATTTCCTATTCAACCCATTTATCACTGTCAGCTTACATATTCTGCTGACATTTAAATATGCAACTGAGTGTGACGTGCACGAGTAAGCCAGAAGGACAAGCTTTTCAGACAATCGCTCACAGTGCGCACGCGGACAGGAGACGAGAGACAAGACACAATCTTTCACACCAACTTTGTGACTTATAAAAGTCTGAATTCAGAAAGGAAAGGAGGGGGGAGATAAAACAGCGCCTGTATTCATCTTGCCAAACTTCCGGAGGGAAATCACCAACTGAGGCCCCATGAATAATTTGCTTTTCCCCCGTCTTCACACACATACACACGCGCACGCTTGGGAACATGTTGATGTATTGGATTTAACCGAGCACAAAACATCTGATCAACAACCAAAATGTGGAAGGCAAAGACGTGTTTTGCTTGATTTTCATACACCGTAATGAACTTTATGTTCTGATGCTTTGGGAGACACTTTTCAAGGTGTCATTTTGCTGTTTTCCCCTGCTGTACCTTTTATTTGTGTCTAAGGTGAAAGCAACCACTTGTTTGTTCGCTGTATATTCAAAAGCATTTAATTACCGAGTCCCTCTGTTCAAATATCTACTGGACCATTAAATTGCCTGTTACAATGGCTAAGATTATCTGTTGACAGAAGCCTCCTTATTAGCTAAATAAGCCTTTGGATGTTAATAAAACTAATATAATGAGTGCAACAGAAAGCATCGCAAAGCTAGTATGAGCATCAAAACATTAAAGGGGTCATATCAAACAGAATCAAGTTTCCCTTTCCTTCATTATGCTAAAAAGCAACTTTCAGACACTCAAAATGTCCTTGCTAATTATTAATACTGTTGTTTTTTTCTTAAGTTTAATATTTAAAATTGTGTAATTATTTTAAATGAGTCTAATTAATAATCTAAAATATATTTTATTTATGTAATATTAATATTATATAAAATACTGTTCTTATAAGTAAAAAATACTATTTTAATAAATATTCTACATAGTATTTAAAAATAAACAATAATTCAATGTAAAATAATATATTATTAATATAGTATATAAGTTAGTGTAGTTGGTCTAATTCATATTTTATACACACACACGCATACTGAATATGTGAATAATCACTACACATCACACAAAATGCAGCAGCACGATCGTCCTATCGTCCTTGTTCTAATGCTAATAGGCCTTAGTCAGGTTAGATGTCAAGTCACCTTTATTTATATAGCACTTTAAAGGTCCTAGATCACATAATTTTCACAACTCACGTTGGCAATTCGTCAGCTGAACAGCCGGTATGTTGTTAAACAACAGTACAATCCATTGAACGCACTGCACTTCTATCCCTCACAGCCTCATTTTCATTCCTGTCAAAAATTAAATATGGTGATACTCTGACTACGGTCTGTTATATGCCTATTAGACAAAGTCCCTTTCAAGAAAAGTCTGTTCACTCGGTGGCCAAATGGAAGTTATTTCTGGGACGCAAGAACAAGTCCTATCTATTTGAATGGGGAAATCTTGAAATCTCAAAACTCATATTTAAAAAACGTTTAAAATCTGAAATCTGATCTCATAAATGTTGTTCGATATGCTCAAATAGCATTAAATAAGTTTATATTTTCAGCCAGACCAGCCAATGTACATGTGCATTCCTAAGCATGCATCCAAATCGCGTACTATTCTGAGTACTACATTTGAATTTGAATTTACACATGACTTTTAAAAAGTACATTCTATATAGTATGAATATGGGTAGTATGAATAAAATTCGAATGTACTACATCCACCATGTTGTTACTATCACATGACCTACTAGAGTCAGTTCTGTCGCTTCACTTTCATTAATAAACCCTCTCCCGTGTAAAGTGTCCATCGAATGCGCACTTGAGAATCCTGGCGGAACTACTAGGTTATCCATGTACTTTTTGCCAACCGTTTTGCAAATACTATGAATTTGGACATACTAGTCTTTTGGCATACTGTTTTTCGCATACGCTATATTAGGGAAGTATTCGATTTCAGGTGCAGCGTTTTTCTATGGTATCCATAGTGACTTTACGAAATCTTTTATTTAGAAAGCGGGACTTATTCCGCCATATTGCGTGTTGAATTTTCTCCCATTCTTAGTAATGTGAGCGCCCCAGCTTGGTATTTCTATATAGTCTTGCTATTGGATGATTAGAAAATTGAGGTAATAAAGCTTAACGATTCCTAACGGCAAAGTAGAATTAATTGTTTAATATGTTTAAAAGGTACTTACTTTACCAGGTGGTTGATTGTATCAGGGTCTCGAGCGGACACCGTGCCAACTGAGCTGCCGGCGGGGGTGTCTTCGTCCACCTCAAAAATGTACAGGGCCCGATTGAAGACCGGAGGCTCGTCCACATCCGTGACCGTGATCCGGACAATCGCCGTGTCGCTGAAAGGCCCCAGTTGCTCAAAGCGTCGATCTATATGCGTGTTGGTCACCTGCACCCGTAGTGAGTACAACCTCTTACTCTCGTAATCTAGTTGCTGAACGGGAGAAAGGTTACAAGAGCAAAGATAAGATGGTTAGTCCAGTCTTCACGACCTCTCTGAATAAAGAAAGGTTTACTTTTCTGATATGTTTCAGCTCAGGTCTATTCGGTCACAGATTAACGACATGCTCTAGCAATGTCGCCCTAAACTTTTCTAAATATAAAGCTCGTTTTTTGCATACGAGTGCTTATCGCTCTCCCTTTTCTTCCGAGTTGAATGTCTTTTTCATAAAGGCAGGGCAACGTGCTTTAATGCAGCCTTTTAATTATGAAACGATTAAAGACTCAAGGTACGATCTTTCACCTTTCGCCCATTCAGGCCTTCTTCCGTAGCTATCTTTCATTCTAGTTTAAGCAATAAGATTTGCATAATTGCCTGAGCCTAGTCAAAGCCTGACCTGACAGAGAGAGGAAATAAGCTATAGGCTGATTTCAGCAGGCAAATAGATCCCTGTGCCACACAAAAGGGAAAAAGGGACTTTTTGGGCTGTGAATAGAATTAAGCACCTTTGTAAAGTTGATAGAACACGAAGGCTTCGATTTAGGGGATTACTTTCTAAGCACTTCGCTTCGTATGGGTGCATGCGTGCGTACGAAAGAATGAGAATGAGGGAAAGACCGGCGGATTGTGCGGATTTTATTTCCAACCGCCGACTTGCAGTGTGATGTTTTAAACATTGGATATAGGGCCTGTTTACCTTCTTCACCGTTATCACCCCTTCCTGGCTGGTGCTGTCCGTGATGATGTTGAACACATCTTGCCCGTCGCCATCCAGGATGGAGTACCACATCTCGGCGTTCTCTCCCACATCCGTGTCATACGCTTTGATCCGGCCCACCGATGATCCTATTCCGGCCGACTCTGGGGTGGAGATATGGTAGGTACCTAGAGAAGGAGAGCAAAATAAATCAATTGAGTAAACAGGCAGGTGTTTGTACGAACTCTTTGTTCTCGAGCGAGGCGCTTCGGCGTGCATTTGTCTATTTGTTTATCCTTCTCTCGGGGGAAAAGCGGAGCTGCCTCTCAGTGGTTATTCTTTAATAGAATTTCAGCTCCGATGAGCCATTGGAGAAGGTTCTTTTTAAACCCAGTTTGTGGAAACTGTTTCTGATGTGGCTCTTGTATTGGATTTGAGACTGTGGCAAAGAGAGAAGGATTATCACCCCAAATGAAGCTCCCGCTGTGCTCTCTTTCTCTCTCTCCGTCTCTCTGTCTTCTAGTTTTTATCCTTCTTTCTCAATCCACTCTTCTCTCTCACTCAATAAAAGCCTCTTTCTGTGGAGATTTTGTTCTGGGTTCACATTGTGACTCATCCTGGTCAGTAGGAGAAACGGGCCCCGAGCATTTCCATGATAATTAGGCTGAACTGTGACGTACGTGTGTTGTGGTTCTTATGAAATATCACTAGTGAAACTTGCCATCCGAACAGTTGATTTCATATGCTCATCATGTGTTTGCAAATCCAAGCACAATTCTGCTCATTATTACTCTGATAATCTAGCCTGCATATATTTTTAACAGTTGACTGGAAGTCAAACTCTTGTTCATTTGATATGCTCTTTCTGTCTTGTTCTAGGCCTTTTGTTCTAGACATTTCAGTATCATTTTTCTTTAACTCTTTTCCCGCCAGCGTTTTTGAAAAAAAAGTTGCCAGCATTTTTAAAGATTTTCACTAAAATGTCATGGCCCCCAGAATATTTTGTTGTATGAATATCTGAACATGCAATACATCAAATTAAAGAACAGACCTTCTACTTTTAAACAAAATTTTTTTTGAAAAAAGTTTGATTAAATATTTTTTATTCTAGCTTCAAACTTTCTTTTTTTATCAACACTTGAATGTAGGTAGGTTTCATATAAAAAAAGTAAAATTTTGAGCAAAAAGCTGAGAAAATTGCAATTTATCAAATACTATATCTGGATCATATTCAGTACGAAGATCAAAGCAAAGATGCAGTAGACTGCTTCCATCAGCACCCCTAAAGCTTCTTTACCACATCCTGGAATGACATTTCACTCTGTAAAATTAGGGAGTTTTCATTTATATGCGATTAGCATTATTTTTCATATCCATATGCTTACATATGAGATCGCTCGTTTCTGCGGCTTCCTCTTCTGTGCTTTTGATCGAGTGATTCTAGACTCATTCAGGAGATGCGTAATAAAATATGGGTAAACCCCCTAGTGTATAACAGCGAGAATGCGGAAACTCGGAAAATTCCGTGTTTGGCGGGGAAAGAGTTAATGAAGTTCCATAGAAATTAGTCATAATTTAGCTTTACTTGACCTACAATTGGCTGTTTTTGCTACTATGCCTTTTAAGGCCTCCATTTGTAAACTATCTCTTGTGGATTGAGAAGAAAGCTTTGCATTTTGTGTGTTAGATAATGGCTACTTTTTACATCAAACCTTTTGAGTTAAAGGCAGAGTAAGTGATTTCTGGTAGCCAATGTTGATATTTGAAATCACCAAAGCAAACACGCCGCTCCCGGTTCTCTCGAATCATGTTCGGAAGCGCCGTCCTTATGACGCCTGACAGGATGGACGGACACAGGTTTTGTTAGGTGCTATCTAATGAGCTTCTCTGACTTCATTATTTATATCTTAATGTCATGCTAAAAAAGAAGGTTGGACGAGGGAAAAAAACACAACCAAGGAAATGAATTCCCTGCCTTGGGGTATTTTAAAGAGTGAGTTTTAATTGAGTAGGATGTCAGTCTTCAAATGATGTTGTGATAAGGTTATTAGTACATGAGAGCAAAATTGATGTGTTTTTTTTTAAAGCACCACACACTTAAATCGTACTAAATTAACTAAAATACATAAATTAAAATACATTATTACATTAGAATAGAAATAAATGATAACAACTACAAAAAGACAGACTGATAGATTGTGTCTATGTGTGTGTCTTCGTTTTCTTTATGCAAAATATAATTTCTTATCCTTTGGTTTTAGGGTGAAATATGATCAAGACATCTTTTCTCGACAGGCTTTATGCGTTTCACCCACACATGTATGAAAGCATGTTAGCAAATCTTGTATCACCTTACTGTTGTATCCCATCTTTTAATCATTTCAAATCATGCTTGTTCTCTCATCTCTTCCCAACTTACCCGTTTCAGGTTCGACTGAGAAATATGGCTGGCCCTGCAGTATGCTGTAAACCAGCTTGGCGCTGTTTCCATATGCTTCATCATCTGCATCAGTGGCTGTAACTCGCATTACGAATGCACCTTGAGAGAGAGAAAGCAAAAGAGAATTATAGAGAGAGGTATTTAAGCCGTAACATGACATAAACATGATCCCCACATCCAGTATTAAAACCTCAACCATGATCAAAGCAGCGCATCCTAAAGGTGCACCATGAACGACAAATTCCTAGTTGTAAAAGTGGCTATTAGCCTATATGATGAGACCCCCTCCCTCCCAGCATGAGCAGTGATCAAGGCGAATGCATGATCACTTGTGCTTTCATCTTCTTTATCTCGGTGTGTTTCTTATCTAAATCCTAGTCTCATAATTACTCTAGCTGCACGGTGAGATGGACATATCTTTAATTGTAGTTTTTCTTTTGCCCGCTCTCTCTGGGTCATCCCATTCATTTTCCGCTCTGATGGAATCTGCTGTATGTTGCTGGGAAACGTCAGACTAATAATCTGCTCAAAGAAACATTATAATTAGACCAATTAATCTAAAACTAACATGATTTTGGGGGGTTCATTTTCAGCCTGACACAGCTTTGGACATCTGTAGGAGGTAAAAAAAAATAGTCTCTGATATGAAAAGCTGTTTGAAATTTGACTATGGAGTAACGGAAACCAACTCATTTGGCTGCTTATATTTGGCTCTACAGTAATGTTCTACTATAGGCTAAGCAGTATATATTAAATATTCACAAAGATGTCATTAAAGATGTTTAAATAGCTTATCTAATTTAAACTTCAGTACCAAAAAAAATGTCATTGGTGTTGGTAAGGTTGATTAATATCTGTGAATCAGTTCAAACTGGCATTTTCCATCTACAGCATGCATATTTTTTAATAATACATGGGGATCAAAAGTGTTAAATATTTGTAAGAATTATATATATATATATATATATGAGTATGTGAGCCGAGTGGAGCGGTGTGATTATGAATGGAGCGAGGAGCGGATTTTTTAAAAGTTGGAGCGTCGTGGTTTTCACTCCACTGCTGCTCCATCACGAGTACAATTCATGCCAACGGCCCGTAATATGAATGTATAGTTTAGTCATTAAACTCTAGATGGCGCAGACTGACGGGTATTACCGTAACTGATGATATTCACAGCGTTAAACGACTTGGAAGTTGTCATGACTGAACTGCATATTTAGCAAGAATTCACATATTAAACATATTTAGCTAGCTTGATACAGATGGATCACTCACATCAGAAAGAATGTGAAGGCTATGATGATTATAGTTATAGTTCTCAAGGAATTTGTTTGTTCCTTCTAGATACTGAATATTTTCGGGTGAAAGCATGATTTAAACAGGTACAACACATTCACACGCAGTCGCTTTCGCAATAATGCATCCAAACCTTACAGTGCTACTTCATCTGTATCTGATTTCGAATGAGCAGAAATCTGTAAGAAATGCAGCGATCATCGTGCAGCCCTACTTCTAATGCAGACAACCATGCAATAAGCTTGGCATGTGGTAGGAAAAAAGTTTGCACACTAGTGTTCCAATAAGCCACTTTGAAACTTGCCTGTAATTTTATTTTTTTTATTTTAATATAGCCTATGTTATGTACAGAACTGTGATATTTCAAACATACTGAAATACTTTCGACGCAGAGCGAAGGCGGAGCGGTGTTTCTGATATCAGTGAGCGAGGAGTGGAGCAGGAGCGGGAAATGATGAACCCGGAGCGGAGCTGGAGCTGAGTGATTATTAAATGCTCGGAGCGCGGAGAGGAAATTGTTGCCACTCCACTCCGCTCACATACTCTGATATATATACAGAGTTCTGGCATGAAACTCTAGATGGCACAGTCCCCACCTGTATAGATCTGCTACGAGTTGATTCATGTATGCTATATGGGGGTTATTTCATGTATGTTATGTTTGCAGCATCAATATTTCTTACATGCTCACAGCAGCATGTTGTGGATGTATTGGCAGTAGCAGCGTAGTAGATCTATTCCGCCAAGACCAAATGCATTAACATTGTCATGCACATTACCATGCCAATCCATCTGAGAGTTGTCATGACAGAAATATATATATTAGATTTTTGTTTTATATAATTGATTTATATCATGTTAAATATTTATATAATATGTATTGTACTAATACTATACTTTAATGTATGATTTTGATTTTGAATGTCATCAAAAGGCTATAAAATATAAATATTCTCTCTCTCTCTCTCTCTTCTTGTGGCTGTATCACTCACCCTTTGTTCTACTTGAAAGTCTTGTAGTGTTTTCAAGTGTGTAGTACACCATTACCCACAACAAAAGTCTGATCTTGGCCTGGTCTCAGATAATAACTAGACACAACAATTTTTCTCCTGCCACGTGAAGAGCAAAATCACTCCTCATTCGTAGTTGCCAACAACCGTGCTTTCCATTACTCTCACGGCTTCCTGTGAGTAGATTCCTCAGAGGTTTCTTCATTCTCATTTGTGTACTACTGACATCTTACTGTTCGTTCTTCTCAATAGTCTTTAGAGGTGACTTCGTGGCTTCTCAGTCTCACCTCTGAAGGTGGACCGAATGCACATGTTGTTTCTGCCATGGATCAGCGGCGTCCTTGGCATCAACAAGATCTCCGCCGAGCGGCGTTCACTCTCCGAACGGCTCGAAGAATACTAATGAATGCGGAAACATCTGTCGCCCTCTGGTCCCATTCCGATAACACGGAGGGAAACAGAGTGTCAGTTTTCATGGATGGCCAGATCTGGCCGGTTTGTTCGGCTTAAACGCGAGTGCCACCGTGACCTCACGGTTTGGCAAGCAGAGCCGTTGCTGAATTCGTACACGGTCGGGAGAAAGGAAGAGCTCAACCGAAGTGTCAAATGAGCACGGTGTCCCATTTATGTTACGGAGTACCGGGGATGATGTAACTTTGAACCCCACGGAGAAATACGGATATGAAAGGAAGAACGAGCCTGACGGAAAAAGAAACGGAAAAGAAAGGCTGAGCTTGGGTTTCAAGAGCAAAAGCCTGAGGGGAAAAGACGGTGGTCCATTTACAAGGCTGCTTTTACCAGATTGTGTTGAATAAATAACTCTGGCCACAGTTGAACTGTTGGAACGTGACATGCCTTTACATCTGTGAGGGAAATAAATATCGGTAGTGACAGTGAATCTCCAGGTATCATGTTAAGAATCTGAATTAAACAACATTGCTTGTAAAACACAGGTGCTTTGAGACTCTCGACGGCGGAGGCATAAAGGAGATCAGACGCTGGAATGTAAGAATCCAACTGAGAGTCCCTGAAGCTTGAGTGGAGTGGTCTTGCATCTGAAAGGATGACTGGTAGAGTTTCATGCCTCAGGGATCAATATTGTAACAAACACAGTTGCATTACGATCTATTCTCCAATGAGACATCCAGAACTTAACAGAATTTTGAATACCTTTACGCTTTAATAGCACATTTCTTTTTGATGTCACATTGAAAATGTCATGACAAGGACGTGACGATAGTGCTGATTGGCCGATGACACCTCAAGAACGAATACAGTCCCAAACCCTTCACTAGTGACTGAGCTGTGACTTGAAAGGCAGGGGAAAATATTAGTCCATTTCATGCTTCAAAAAATACTGGGGACTAGTGAAGCATCTGCTATAATATAATGAAATATTTCTGACAGCATGTTGCTTACTAACTTTTCCCCCCCCATTGCATCAGACAACACAGCTACTTCTGAATAGTCACTGAAAGAGAAATGCTGTTTTGGCCTAGATGGTTTAGTTATGGCATCTACCAGCAGGGGTTAACTAACCTGTCCTAACCAACTAGGAAAGGTCCGTTTGAATCAAGATCATTTTCTAGTCCTGTTTCTTCTTTTTTTCTGCTGTAATGCGAGAGTGAGGTAAGCAGTGAATCTTTGTTTTCTAGACAAGGATAGATGTGATAACTAACATGATAATTAATATGTCTAATTATATTATATTTCTCCTTTCAACAGAAATTATGGAAAAAGCATCTACAACATAAGGCCACAGAAATATGACCTCTCTAAGAAAGACAGTATCATGCCAAGTGGTAAGCTGAAGCACTGGTTGGTTATTAATTAATTAATTCATTCATTCATTTATTCATTCATTCATTCTGCCTACTTCATGAAAAATATGCTTCAAAATAAGAAAAAATATTTTAATACTAGTATTTTATTAGAATAATAATAGTTGTTGTTGTTGTTGTTGTTGTTATTACTATTATTATTATAAATTAATTATTGCTATTGTGTCCCTCTCAATCACTGGCAGGTTGATGTGATGGGCCATTTCTATGATGAAGATTGTGCTCTAGGGGGCAATATATCTCACCCTCTAATTATTATTAAGGTGTCAAAATGGCATAAGTAAAAATGCGAAAATATTTAATTTCTGTTTGGTAACCTCTGACACATTGTCAAGCGTTCTCAAACAGTGCTTTATGAATTGACAAACACAAATAGGTACACCAGGACCACTTCAAACACAATTTCCTCATTTCCTAGTGATTAATCTTTGATTCATTTGCCAGGTCACAATGATTAAGATCCACAATGATTATCTTATCATAGCACAAAATCTTTAATCAAAACCGGCTGCCTTGTTTTTGTCGGAACTGCAAATGAGTTTTGATTCATTTGAGATAAACCTGCGGGTTAATTTGTTGCTTCGTGAAGAGTAATTGATTTCAGCTTGCTGCATCCCGTTCATTTACTTTGATTCTCGCTGCCGCTCTTAATGGGTTTAAAATCACGGGACGGGATATTGTAAGATCTTTATCCTCCCTGAAAATCACGTGAAGTTGAATGTTTGTCATAGTTTTAATCAGCGTTGATTAAGTGGCTGTAAGAAAGTGTTTTCCGTTTAGTTAGTGTTTCCCTTTATTGGCCAATGTCACTCTGCTCGTCATGGTGGAGACCATTTTGACTGCTTGGTAAACACGCATCCGCTTTTTCTGCTTAACATTTAATCATTTTGAATTATCCTTCTGAAATCTTTTGTTTTTAAGCCTGTTTTATATATTAAAAAAGTCCATAGCT